AGCATTACTTTGGAATTTATATTATCCATCCGGTAGAGTCTCTAATATAATGCACACCTAGCGCTATACCATCACCACACCTGCATCAAGTAAATTACTGTGGCTTTTTTGAGTAACTCTCCTCCTTGGAAGCTGTAAATGCTAGGTGTCCTGTGCACTAGGCCCAGTCTGCGCCGAGGTGTTGTCATTCGACACTAGGTCAAACCTCGGCATACATGTGCTTTTATCGCTTGTTATTTTCGCCTTTATTTCTCGGATAAGGATCGTTTAACTAGTCTCACATCGAAGGAATAGAACATTACGGAAGCATTACGGATATTTCAGCAGTTTTCAAGGTTACGGATAGAGACACTTGCTTGTTTGTAAGGATTTCTTGTACGGTATTGTATTCGAACGGTGTGCTGAGCGTAGTTGATCGGATCGAATAAAACGTGGAATTGACATCGAATTGACGGCTGTTACAGTTTGACCTACAAACGAATCACATGGAAGGAGACAAGGAAGAAGATTTACAAGGGAAAACGGAGTTCCCTGATGAAGAGAAGCTTTGCACTTGGCGCGAAGTCGATATGGATCTCGATACAATCTGCTCGTCACCTCGTGCGATATCGCCGCTGACCGGTTTATTGGCTCAAGAAACTCACATGGATGTGCGAAAACGGATTCCTACAGAAAGGGGTAGGCAATTTGAGATTCAAAAGTTGAAGGAAAATCGGAAAACTGCACTTGCTAATTTAACTAAGCAGATTAACTTAGTCTCACCTTTGTTAACGGATTTTGAGAACGAAAAACAAGTGCGTACGGAAGTTGTTCATTTAGATCAGCTATTTGTTAAAGTGCAAGAAGCACATGACGCATATCTCAAGGCCTTAGATGATGATGATGAAATTAAATTAGCTCTTGAATGGTTTGGCACTCGTGATAAGGATGTGCTCCAGCTGAAGCAAAGGATTATTGGCTTTTTGGATGATGCAGATAAGCTACGTGGCGGTTTACGTGATACACACTCAGTGAAATCTAAGTCATCTCGTCGCTCAAGGCACTCCCTTTCCTCGGCAACATCTGCTAGGTTAAGGTTAATTGAAGCGAAAGCTAAAGCTGCAGCGTTAGAGGTTAAGGCATCATTTCTAAAAGAGAAACAAGCATTAAAAATGGCTACTGAAGAGCTTGAACTTAGGCAGCAAATCGCAGAGGCAAAGGCAGAAGAAAAAACTTATGAGAAATTCGAGAAGGAACAAAATATTGACGGAATGAATGAAAACTTGGAAGATGTTGAGGTTAAACTCACTTCTACTACCATCTCACCTGGGGTACAATCTAACGATCAGGCTACACTAAGGGTGCCTTCTGTGAAGTTCCAAAGTTCAGCTATTGTTGGTTCAACGACCACTCCTGTAACCACCCCAGCTTTAGTCAGTGCTGCTAGTATGAACCCAACTGCCCGACCCTTTGTTCCAAAGAGTGTTCCCATTAAGGAAGAAGAGTATAAGGACAAGTACGAAACCCCCACTGATTATAAGCCACCACATGTTAAAAGGGAATGTACGTGCAGTTTCGGAAAGGATTCAAGCTCTGTGGACGGTACAGGGTTAGATCAAAACTATCTTGACATTCAAAGGAAACAGGCTGAACTTTCAGAAATGATTGTTACCCAACAGGCTAGGAGTCTCCTACCTAGTCACAAGCCACCTATGTTTTCGGGAGATGTTATGTCATACCCAGCATTCATAACAGCCTTTGAAACTCTCATAGAATCTAAGGTAGATGATTCTAATGAGCGCTTGTACTACTTGGATCAATACACTAGTGGAAAGGCCAAGGAACTGATAAAGGGTTGTTTACAAATGAAAGGCGAAGATTCGTACAAGGAGGCTAGACGGCTTTTGACACTTCCTTTAACACCAAGCCTTCTTAACGAGTCTTCCTTAATGAATGTTCCACCACTGGCATTATCAAGGAGGGCGTAAACACATATCTTATTGTTTGGATTGTCCTTGTGGTACAACCATACTGGGATAATACCCATAGCAACTGGTATATCACCGGCATCTGTCACATTGCAAATTGCAGTACACACGTTAACGACTCGCTCTTCCGTTTTCTTTTTACTGGCTTCCGATTTCTCATGTTGGCCGTTTCCACTTTCCATTTTCGCCTCTTCTGATTTCCAACTGTAATCATGGAGTGACGTTGGGTGTTTCTTATTGCAGCTCTGACAGGTTCTTTTACTTTTGCAAAGCTTAGCAATGTGTTCGCAATGATAGCAACCGAAGCAAACTTTTGCTCACTACTATGCATGGTACCCAAGAAGTCGATACTAAAGCGGTAGATGGGCTAATGGCTTCCCACTTTCAAGAAAACGACGTTATCGTACCCCTACCGAGAACCTACGTCAGACAACGGATTCCAGCAGATCGTGATGAGATTCCTCGTCCCGAAGAGCTGCAAGGATGGTCACATTTGCAGATGGTTAGGAAACACGTACCTCCTTACATGGAAGACGTAGAAATAGGACTCCTGATCGGACTAAATTGCCCTAGTGCAGTGCGACCAAGAGACATTGTTTGCGGGAATGAGAATGAACCCTATGCAGTAAGATCACTACTAGGATGGCACGTAAACGGTCCTGTTAACCAAAAGAGCAGTAAACAAGTACATTGTAACCGTATTCAGATTCTTAAGAGCAACACAGAGAATAACGTGAATGGGTACATCATTGCTGAGACAGAGATTAAGGAGCGGCTAACCCCTCAAGTGGTTTCTCGAATGTTTGAGATGGACTTTGCTGAAAGGGAGCACGGAGTCGCATTATCAAGAGAAGACCGTCAGTTCCTGAAGATTGTAGAAGATGGAATCCATCATAGAGATGACATGCATTACGAGATGCCTCTGCCCTTTAGAGAAAAGAATGTACAGCTACCCAATAACCGTCCTCAAGCAGAGCAACGCCTGCACGGCCTTAAGAAGAGACTCCAAGGCGACGCAAGGTATCGTGCTGACTACGTCAGATTCATGACTGAAATCATAGAGAAGGGATATGCTCGAAAGGTCAAGGTTGAAGAGCTACCCCATCAAGAAGGAAAGGCCTGGTACTTACCTCACCACGGGGTTTACCACCCCAAAAAACCAGGCAGCATACGCGTAGTATTTGACTGTTCAGCTCGTTACCAGGGTGAATCGCTGAATGGCCACCTATTGCAAGGGCCCGATCTAACAAACAAGCTCACTGGGGTGCTCACAAGATTCAGAGAGGAGAAGGTAGCCTTCATGGCTGACATAGAGAAAATGTTTTTTCAAGTCAAGGTTCCAAGGGAAGATCAGAACTTCCTTCGCTTCTTATGGTGGCCAAATGGAGATTTAACTCAAGAGCCTCAAGAGTACTGCATGACAGTGCACCTCTTTGGAGCTGGTTCATCTCCAGGGTGTTCTAACTTCGCCTTGAAACGTACAGCCGAAGACGGTGAAAGAGAGTTTGGTGCAAAAGCTGCCGAAACATTAAGGAAGAACTTTTACGTCGATGATGCTCTGAGTTCGGTACCGACAGAGAAGGACGCTGTAGAACTAGTACAAGCTGTTAAAGAGATGTGTGCAAAGGGAGGGTTCAAACTAACGAAATTTGTCAGCAACAGTAGAAAGGTGATGATGTCAGTACCTGCTGAAGACAGAGCTAAGGAGATCAAGGGCCTAGACCTAGGTAGTGACAAGTTACCAATAGAGAGAGCTTTGGGTGTAGAATGGTGCATTGAATCGGACGCATTCAAATTCAGAATAGAGTTGAAGGACAAGCCGTGCACCCGTAGGGGTATACTGGCAACTATAAGCTCGATCTTTGATCCTCTGGGGCTGATTGCGCCCGTCGTCCTTGTTGGAAAGCAGATACTTCAAGAGATCTGTCACGGAAAAGACTGGGACGAGCCAATCGAGGGAGAAGTTCTTGCCAAATGGGGAAGATGGAGAAGTCAGTTACCGCTATTAGAGCAGCTGAACATCCCAAGAAACTTTCAGCCTCCTGATTTTGGAAGCATTGCCACTGCTCAGCTACATAATATGTCAGATGCGTCTCAAGTCGGGTACGGACAATGTTCTTATCTCAGACTGGTTGATGAAAACGGAAGAATTCATTGTTCTCTTGTTATGGGGAAAGCTCGTGTTGCACCGTTGAAGACAGTCACTATTCCAAGACTTGAACTAACTGCCGCTACCGTTTCAGTAAGGGTTGCAAGCATGCTAAAGGAAGAGTTAGACTATGGCGGACTCCAAGACTTCTACTGGACCGATAGTAAGGTTGTCCTCGGGTTCATCAACAATGAATCTCGAAGATTCCAAGTGTATGTTGCAAATAGAGTGCAATTCATCCGTGACCACACTTCACCAGACCAGTGGCGCTACGTGGAGTCTGGATCCAACCCAGCAGATGAAGCATCGAGGGGGATGAACGCTAAGGAGTTTATGCAAAGGTCGCAGTGGATTAAGGGCCCAGACTTCTTGTGGCAGACGGAAGATCACTGGCCTCAACAAGACTCATACGAAAAAGAGGTCGACCACAATTCTCCTGACGTTAAAGGGGTTACCGCTAACGCGACAGTGATTGAAGAACATGAAAACATGTTAAGCAGATTCAAAGGATTCTCCAAGTGGCAAGTCCTAAAGGGCGCAGTTGCGCTTTGTATGGAATACAAACGACGTCTCAAGATGAGAGCCAGTAAAGCAGACAAGAGACATGTAACTGTTGACGGTCCTCAAGTTAATGGGCGAAGCCGTGAATGTGAAGGTTGCCCGGCTACTTCCTTTATGGTCAGAGACCTTGAACAAGCAGAAACAGAAATTCTCAAGCTGGTGCAAGCGAATTATTTCGATAAAGAAATCAAGATTCTGAAAGATTTCCAAACCCAGACCGGAAGTGTGCCTAAAGATCGTCATCATGATAAGGAAAGGAAAGCAGTTTTGAAGAAAAGTAGCAGCCTTAACGCCCTTGACCCATACCTGGATGCCAGCGGAATGTTGAGAGTCGGAGGACGGATAAAGAAGGCTAACCTCTCAGACAGTCTTAAGAACCCTGTCATCTTACCGAAGGCTGGTCATATTACAGAGCTGGTCCTCCGTCACGCCCATGAGAAAACTCACCACAGCGGAAGAGGTCTCACCTTAAACGAACTTCGTTCGAGTGGTTACTGGATTATCAATGGAAATGCTGCGGTCAGACACTTCATATCAAAGTGCGTCACGTGTCGACATCTCCGTGGTACCTTTGGAGAACAGAAAATGGCCAACCTCCCAAGTTCCCGTGTTGAACCCGCGCCACAGTTTTCATACTGTGCAGTGGACTACTTTGGTCCATGGTATGTCAAAGAAGGCAGGAAAGAAGTTAAAAGGTACGGAGCCCTATTTACTTGTTTGGCCAGTCGTGCGGTACATATCGAAGTAGCCCACTCCATGGAAACAGATTCATTCTTACAAGCATTACGGCGCTTTACCTGTCGTAGAGGACCCATAAGAGAACTTCGCAGTGACCAAGGGACTAATTTTGTTGGGGCCGAAAACGAGTTAAAGGCAGCACTTCGAGAAATGGATGATGAGAAAATCAAGGCAGAGTTGCTTAAGGAGAACATTGATTGGATCAGAAATCCTGCTACTGCAAGTAATTTCGGAGGCGTTTGGGAACGACAAATTCGGTCCGTGCGGAACATCATGGCAGCACTTATGAAACAGCATGGTCACAGCTTAAACGACGAATCGTTGCGAACTTTGTTATGTGAAGCTGAAGCTGTTGTCAACAGTCGTCCTCTGACTACCGAGACCTTAAGTGATCCGCTCTCACCGTTGCCACTATCGCCAAGTACCCTTCTCACTGGTAAAACCAAGCTCATTCTCCCCCCTCCAGGAAAGTTTCAACGAGAAGATACTTACTGCAAACGTCGCTGGAGGCGCGTACAGCATATTGCTAACGAATTCTGGAATAGATGGAGTAAAGAATATCTTCAGATCCTACAGTTGAGACAAAAGTGGACACACAAGAGAAGAAACTTCACGGAAGGCGACATTGTTCTATTAAAGGACAACAATTCTTGTAGGAATAAGTGGCCTATGGCTAAAGTGCTTACCACACGTCGTGATGATGAAGGCCAAGTCAGATCGGTGACTGTTCAAACCGGAACTGGATCAGTATTGGATCGACCAGTCAATAAACTTGTGCTGTTGCTAGAGTCACCTAAGGATAGACCGGGAATCCCCGACGAGGAGCCTGAGGAACTGTGATGTTACAGAAACAGGATATCTAGAACGCTTAGCAATTCTAGT